ACCCTAAGTTAGAGTAATTTAGAAGAAGCATTCAAATTTCATTTTGAAACATGGAGTTTAGGATTGAAATTTTGGTGTTTTTTCTTTTTTCTCCTATTTTTGTATAGGGATAGGTATGTGATGCCCCAAATAAATAATTGATGTCCTGCAAATGCCTATGGTCCTTAAGATGTTTGATTGTGGGGTAATTTGGTACTACAATTGCTTTGCATTGTTCTGATGATCCATGTTGATTCATTTTTGTTTTGGTTGATATTTTGAGGGAGTGGGTACTCAAAATCAGATTCCTGGTTGATTAGGGAATATTTTTCACTTGATTTGCTAACTATTTATGGAATTCTTGATCTGTCATATGGTGTGTGTGGAATCTGGTATTTGGTGTCTTTTCCCCTCATTTGTTCCCTTTTCTAGTGAAACCAGTTTATTTTGTGTCAAAATGCTTGTATTCCACTTCCATGCGATTTTGTTCTCTAAAGAAAAGAAAGAAATAATGTTGTTTTTGTTCCAATCTTCTAAATTAGTAAGTTTTGATCTCTTGTTCATAGATTAATCTTCTATAGTGGTAGTAGAAGTCATACACTCATACTACAAAGATTTGTCACAATTTTGGATTTTTTTTTATGTGACAGTTATGGTCTTCATTTAGCACCAACATGCCATGATCTTTGTTAGCTTATCTCCTACTACCTGCTTTAGACTGGATTGACTAGGAGTAGAAGTAACTCCTTTCATTTGTTGGGTTTAGGAGGTTGTAGTGCGATCCACCTTGAACCATTTAGTTAATGGACATAGTTGATAATCATTCTATATGTTACTTTGTTCCTTAATTTTTTATAGTGAAATTTTTCCATGATAAATCCATCCTTGTAAAAATTGAATATTGTATGACAATGAAAAAAATGAACAGAAAATGGAGAACATGAAGATAAATTGATTAGTGGAGGTCATTGTTCCTTCTTTTTTTTTCTTTTTCTTTTTTTTTATCTAATTTGTTTGTCTTGAGATAATTTAAATAATGCTTTAGAAGACTAAAGTGTTAACTTTGGTCTTATAAATTTAAATAATGATTAGAAGAAGATTTAATTTAATAGGAAAAACTAAATTTTAAATACATAGTATTTTAATATATTCAAACAATGTATTTAAAAATACATGTATTCGAAATTCATTTTTTTTTTATTCAATCCACATAAGGTATTTTAAAATACATGTATTTCAAATACTTGTATTTAAAATACACATTCCAAATATAAATACATATTCCCAAATACAACCATTGAGATTACATTTGTTTAGTTTGATTTGATGGGATTGCTTTGGTTTGGAGCACCTTAGCTGCAAATTAAGTGCCCGTTTGGTGTGGCTGGAGTTTTTAATAAAAGTTCTGTTAGAAAGAAACTATTGTAGAAGTATTGTTTTTGTAAATAAAAAGAAAAATAAGGATAAAATACAAATAATGTGTTAATTTCATTAAAACTCAAATGAGAAACTCCTACATAAGCACCAATTCGGTACTTCTAAGATTTGCAATGAAATGAACAAAAGACTAATTTATGAGAAGTTGTAGCATTTTTTACAAATGGTAGTGTTTAGTGCAGCTGGAACTTTTGGAGTCTAAAAGGATTTCTCACCAGCTGTACCAAACATAATTAGAATATCAAAAATACAAATGTATTATAAGATGTTTTTAGCAAATTTTTTTATATTAATTATAAAAATTGTTAGGTTGTTCAATAAATTTTGAATAAATACCAAATAGATTTTTAAAAGTTTCAATAAATACTTAATACACTTTTAAAATCTTTAATAAAAATCAAATAAATACCTAATGAGTCTTTCAAAATCCAAACTCAATTATATTTTTAATATTATGCATCTTTAGTACTATATTTTCAATAATAATATTTCATTTTAATTCAATTTACTTCAATCTTACTTCTACTACTTTAATTGTATCTTATTTTATCTTATTATATTATATTATACTCATAAAAATTGTTAAAATCCTCAATAAATTTAGAAGAAATACCTAATATCTTTTTAAAATCTCCCTAAATTCTCAAATAAATACACACTAAATAAATCTCTTAAAATCTTTACTAAATAATTATAAATGTAAATATAATTTTAATTATCTATAAACTTCAATTTGATTTCAAAAATTGATTCAGCAAAAAGAAAAGAAACCCAACAACTTCTCAATCTATATTTTAATTCAATTGATTCATCAACTTTAATTTGAAATTGGTTTAATAAAAATTGTTAAAATTTTCAATAAATATCAAATAAATATTTAATAAGTCTTTTAAAATCTTTCCAAATTTTCAAATAAATACGAAATAAACCTCTTAAAAAGTATTTACTGAGGGAGTTAAAGCCCATCAAATTAAATTAATATTCTTTCAAATATTTTTGTAAGCACAATACAGATAATTCTTTATTAGATTAATATTCTATATAATAATATTTAATAATAATTTAATTATATCAAATTTCTTATAAATTATTTTTAAATTCCACTTCAGTTATCATATAATAATCTAACTTCTACATATATATATTATTAAAGTTGAAAATAATTTATCCAAATATATAATTTGACTTTTACTTTAATTATATAATGTGTTTAGCATAGATACACATTATATTATATTTCAAATCAACTTGTAAGACTATGGGAGTAATGATTAAAATATAAATAATTTTAGATAAACATATTTTTTAATCTTAATTACTAAAATATCAAGAATTATGAAAAGTTACAAATTGCAACGTATAAATTACAATTGATGTGCATCAACTTGACAAAGACTAATTTGAAAAATACAAAATGAGTTATAAATAAACTGTTAAGGTGTAAGTGGGAAGCAAGAACACCTATAAAGAATTTAAAAGTAAAGAAAGAACCTCTAGAAAAACTTTAAAATATTTTGACATTCGCTTTATTAAGAGTCTAAACTATATTCAAAAATTATAAAAATGGTAATCTAAGAGCTTTTAGAGGCTTTTAATATATTCATTAAAATGAAGTTAAAAAATTATAATATATACACTACAAGGAAGGAGAGAGACAAGGTGATTATAGGGTAAATAAATAAATATAATGATTAAAAAATGAGAGAATAAACTAAGAGATGAAGTCTCATGAAAAATTAATGAAATGTAAAGCATAGATAAGTGAAAAAGTATCAAGTGGAAAAAATTGGTATAAAAAAAGATATCTTTTGATAAATAAGGATTTAAAAAAGTGACTAAAAAAGAATGATAGAGACGAGAGAATAATGGGAAAATAAATAATAATGAATAAATTACTAATATAAAAAGGGGAAATGAGAGAAATAATGTAAGCTTTTTACCTTATATTAGTTCAAACTTATAACTTTGTTGATATGTGTATAAATTTATTATATATTTTATTAATTATTTGTGATTTTAAAATATTTATGTGTTATTGTAATCCTTGGAAAACAAAAAAACAGCTAATGATGGATAGAAAGAGAAAAACTAGGTAAAAAGATATATATAATAATAGATGAAAATATAAAACATGATTTTTATATTTTAACTTAGAACATCTAACATAAATAAAGGAGAGAGAAAGAATTGAAACAAAAAAGATATATAATGTTGATAGAAGTACGACAAATGATTAAAAAGGCATAATATAGCAGAAAAAGAATAGAAAGAATAATAATAAATAAATTATTAAATATATATATATAGAGAGAGAGAAATTAAGGGCAAATATAGCTAGATAGATTAATATATTGATATAATACATAAGAATAAGCTAAGAGATGGCACCATAAGAAAAATTAATGAAAGGGGGAGTGTAGATAATCAGAAGGTATCAAGAGAATAATGCTAAGAGTTCTGTTTATATATATATTAACTTAAAACTTTTTAATATGACATTCAGGAAAAAGAAGACAAATTAAATAAATTGGGGTAAAAAAGAGATATATAATAGTAATAGTTTATAGATGCAAAGATAAAATAAATTAATGAATATTTGATAAATTGCTCAATTATGTTTATCTTAAAAAATAATTTAATTGATATTGAAGTTGAATATCCATTTATGATAAATTAATATTTATTTGAAATAATTTTTATATTTATTAATTAAAAATTAATTTTAATTATAAATCAATTTTATTATATTTAAAAGTTGCTAAAAATGTTCAATACAAATGAACCGCGCTAGAGTCTCCTGTTTTATGAAATTATTTGAGTAATTATAATGACTTTTGATGGAAAATATATAAATATTCCAGTTTGACTTTAGGGAATCAAAGGGAAGCAGAGAAAAAGAAAATGAAAGAACATCATTTTTCTTTTATATCTCTTCCTTTCCCCATCCTAGTTATCTAAATAGAAAAATTTTACTTTCACCCATGGTTTTGAAATCCGAACCGGTAGTTGAATCGGTTTGTGACCGGTTCCCGATTCGCTGGTCTGACCAGTTCAACTAGCCACCCGCCCAGGTCAATTGAAGAGTGCCTAAAATTGCAGTTTTAAGTTCTGCCATTTCCCACATTATTTGGCTACTGTGTTTTGTAATTTTTTTCCTTGTAATTTCTAGCATTATATAATTATTTTCAATTTAAATTAAATTTAATAGATATATAAATTCACATAATGATATTAAAAACAAATCCCAAAACAAAATATATATGAAAAACAAGTTTTAAAATTAAGTAAATAAATAAATAAAATTATCATACAACTAATTCATATAAAAATGTGATATATTTATAAGAACTCATTGCAGTGTATAGACATATATATATATAATTAACTATCATAAAAGTATCATACACTGTTTTTCATGTATGTCAAATTATTTTTTATGATAGTTAATTATACATATGCCTATACACTGTTTTTATAAATATATCTATGATGTAAATATATCTATGATACCTCTTCAACCAATATAACGTGGTCCAATAAAAGTGAAAGTGTTGGCTGGAGAGTGCACGAGGCGAGTGCCCCTAGCATTGCTGTACAATTAATTCCACAGCAATTGATCATCACTTCATCAGAACACAAACCATCATCAAGCGATTTAAAAAAAACAAAAACCCAATTATTGATCTTTCATGGCTCCTTTTTATGACGTGTAATACACGTGATCTATATCAACCTCTAATTTAATGGGTGGTTTTAGACAAATCTTTCGATGAAGGCTGATTTGATCTGCTGCCCTCTGCTTCCTGATCTGGAGATGCGATGGAAAAGCTGATCTGCTGTTGGATCTGGAGATGCGAAGGAGAAGCGATTTGTTGCCCGATCTGCTACCGTGCTACCTTGTGGTTTCTTCTTTGTCGACATGGCTGGAAAAGTGATGGAAAGTTGGAAACTAAAGAATCCAGAACAGTAATGAAGAACAACGATTAGATCTGGAAAAGCAACGGAGACTGGATTTGAGAGTGGAGAATCGATGGAGACTAGAGAATGGAGAAAAAACTATCAGATTTTGCTTTTGTGTTGGAAAAAGTGGGAAATCGTGAAAAAAAAAAATGAAAACGAAGTTGCAGTAGGCTTGCAGCGTTGCGTCCTCGTGGAAGAATTCGCCCGGCCGGTTCACCAGGTCTACCGGGTTGGACAAGTCGGACGGTTCTTCCGGGTTTGGACGGTCCAACCGTCTAAACGGATCTAGGTGTCCACCTGACCCGTTTTGTCCATCGATTGATGGTTCAACTGGTTGAACCGACTGATCCAGTTCAGTTCTTAAAATACTGCTTTCACCCCTTGCTTTTTCTCTCTTCTCCTCAAATAAAATAAGCTAATAATAATTATTGAGGAAATTAATTTGAAATTTTTAACTGCACAAATTATATTTTTTTGTTAATTTAAATAAAAAATAAAAAATTAATTTTATTTTCATTACTAACT